ACCGCTTGGGGGAACCGCTCAGGAACCGCTTGGGGGAACCGCTCAGGAACCGCTTGGGGGAACCGCTCAGGAACCGCTTGGGGGAACCGCTCAGGATCCGCTTGGGGGAACCCCTCAGGATCCGCTTGGGGGAACCGCTCAGGATCCGCTTGGGGGAACCGCTCAGGATCCGCTTGGGGGAACCGCTCAGGAACCGCTTGGGGGAACCGCTCAGGATCCGCTTGGGGGAACCGCTCAGGAACCGCTTGGGGGAACCGCTCAGGAACAGCTTGGGGGAACCGCTCAGAAACCGCTTGGGGGAACCGCTTGGGGGAACCGCTCAGGATCCACTCAGGAACCGCTCAGGATCCACTCGGGAACCACTCAGGATCCACTCGGGAACCACTCAGGAACCGCTCAGGAACCACTCGGGAACCATTTAGGAACCACTCGGGATCCACTCAGGAACCACTCGGGATGCACTCGGGAACCACTCAGGATCCACTCGGGATCCACTCGGGAACCACTCAGGATCCACTCGGGAACCACTCAGGAACCGCTCAGGATCCACTCGGGATCCACTCAGGATCCACTCAGGAACCACTCGGGATCCACTCAGGAACCGCTGGGGGGAACCGCTCAGGATTCACTTGGGAACCACTCGGGAACCGCTCAGGAACCACTCAGGATCCACTCAGGATCCACTCAGGAACCACTCAGGATCCACTCATACCTCGTTTCCACCAAAAAAGAACTGGTTCGGAACTGGTGCTGGTTCAAATTTGGTTCAACTTGCGAACCTTCTCAGAACCTGTTTGTTTTTCCACTGACTAGAGAGCCCAGCGAACGACGTCGTTACATCACTGTGTACGTCGCCATACGTCTTAGCTGTCCCATTCCCGTCGTGTTGTTGGCCACAGTAACCCGCCCCCAGCCCCTGACGTAAGCATGAAGTGGTAAAAGAACGGTTCTAGTCCAGCAAAGAGTTGGTGCCGCTTTGGAACCACTTTTCCTGGCCGAGAACCGGTTCTTTGGCTGTCGAAACACAAAGAACTGGTTCGAGAGTAGGCTCCGAACTGGCTCTCAAAATGCTTTGGTGGAAAAGGGGCATCAGGAACCACTCAGGAACCACTCAGGATCCACTCAAGAACCACTCGGGATCCACTCAGGAATCACTCGGGATCCACTCGGGAACCACTCAGGATCCACTCGGGAACCACTCAGGATCCTCTCAGGAACCACTCAGGAACCACTCAGGATCCACTCAGGAACCACTCAGGATCCACTCAGGAACCACTCGGGAACCGCTTGGGGGAACCGCTCAGGATCCACTCGAGAAGAGGTCATTCTGAACAGTGGCAACAACATAATGACGGTGAGACGCTGTAGTCGCGGGACAAAACACAGCTCTTCCGTTCCGATAACAACATTAAACAGGTTCTCCCCACTGAGAATTCTGTTGATTGTGCCCTGGTAATTGGCGATTCGATCACACGGAACGTGAAAATAGAGACACCAGCCACCATAGTCACATGTTTGCCGGGAGCCAGAGCGCCTGACATCAAAGCAAATTTAAAAGTGCTGGATAATGCTAATAGAAAATTCTCTAAGATTATTATTTAAGTCGGCACTAATGATGTTCGACTCCGCCAGTCGAAGATCAACAAAATTAATGTTAAAGAGGTGTGTGAACTCGCAAGTGGTTACTCGCAATAACCACTCAGCCATTTTTCAAGGCTTGTAACTTGGAACCTATTTCATGGTTTGCGTTCTCGAGCTCCAGGCACAGTTTTGTGGAAATGAACTACCAGAACACATTAAGGGTTTTCTGTTAGAACAGTGTCGTGTTAGCGGCCCCTAAGTTAATAACTAATGATCGTTGCGACGGAAGTGAATCAATCAAAACTAACTTTATCTGGACAATAACTTTATTCTAGAGCTGCTGTAAAGCCTAAACACTCTCTGTTACTGTAATCTCCTGTTATCACTGTAAAGCTGCTGTGGAACTCTATACTGTTAAAGCGCTGTATAGATGAAGGAGCAGGGGCGGAGTGGGACCAAAAAATCTACGGGGAAATTTCGTAGACCACCGGCCCTCGTCGCCGGCAGGGCCGGATTAAGAGGCCCCTGGGCACAATGTCTTGTAGGTCCCCTCTTAGGCAGGCCAAATGTATATTTTGTCCAGGGACATTTTAATATGGCATTTACAGTTTTACTGATTTAAAAGTAACTTTGTTGTACTACGCTGGAGTAAAGTTCATAAATGGTCCTTCTTTCCCATAGGAATTTGTAAAACTATGTTGGGTGGACCTCTGTGCCTCTAGGGGGGTTCGGGGGCATGCCCCCCGCAAGAACATTTTTTACATTTTAAGGTTAAATGCATCAATCTGGTGCTCTTTGAGAGATCAAAATTAGCTTCAAACCATGAACTGCTCGTTGAACAAAGAAAAAGCATTGATTTGTACCAGGACAATAAAGAGGGCATCTTTTTAGTTATGAGAGTCTCAGTCTGCATTACATTATCAATGATGTTTTAGGATGCCAAACAATTATTATAATAATGTAATAATGATTTATATAATTATTCCTATGACGTAAAATCCATTTAGCCTATAAATGTACTATATAGATGAAAATGAATATTTCAAAAATATTTTAGCCTACATTACACTATAATATAAGACAATTATAATATTTTTGTCTAATTTCTTCACTTGCAAGAAATAAACCCTTGAGCTTTTATTTAGGAGAAAACACCAGATAACCATGCTGATCGCGTGAGCAAAGTAATCACGCAGCACAGACTGGATGCCTATTCTGAAAGTCTTGTGCTGTTTTATAAAGACACAAAGCCATATCATGGTTTCAATTTTAGTTCGTTGGCAAAATATAACGCTAGAGACCTTAATGTTAGGTTATACATTTTACATCTTTACATATGTGTTGGGAAAAGGGAGAAGAGAGTTCAGCAAAAGGCGGATTCGAACTCGGGTCGAGCGCATCAAAAGCTGCTTTCTAGCACTTCATGCCCTACGGCACTGTAGCTATTCCGTAACGGGCGTCTTTTTGCTATAAAGACAGGCACTTAGTGCAAATATACGCTCCGTTATAGACAATGTTAAAAAAAATGTTTTCTTCCCCTCGCTTTGGCCCCAAGTGTGCATGGCGAACTTGCAATGAATACATTTTATCAGACCGGGCCACGCGGCCTCGAAACACTACCGGCCCACCGGGAAAACTCCCGACTCTCCCGATTGCCACTCCGCTACTGTGAAGGAGACTCAGTCGGTGTTATCAGGGAAAGGGTTAGCGGTTGCCGGGCAGAATCTCCCCACAGACTCACGATCTGAGGATGATCCTGCAGAGCTCAGGCACTGATGCTGGATCTCCAACAGAGGATGAAGAGAACTACAGTTACAAACAGCGGAATGATCTCTAGATACAGCAGTGAGACAGGAGACAGTGAGACAGGAGACAGCAGACAGGAGACAGTGAGACAGCAGACAGTGAGACAGCAGACAGTGAGACAGTGAGACAGGAGACAGTGAGACAGCAGACAGTGAGACAGCAGACAGTGAGACAGGAGACAGTGAGACAGCAGACAGTGAGACAGCAGACAGTGAGACAGGAGACAGTGAGACAGCAGACAGTGAGACAGCAGACAGTGAGACAGGAGACAGTGAGACAGTGAGACAGGAGACAGTGAGACAGCAGACAGTGAGACAGGAGACAGTGAGACAGGAGACAGTGAGACAGGAGACAGGAGACAGTGAGACAGCAGACAGCAGACAGTGAGACAGCAGACAGTGAGACAGTGAGACAGGAGACAGTGAGACAGGAGACAGTGAGACAGTGAGACAGCAGACAGCAGACAGTGAGACAGCAGACAGTGAGACAGGAGACAGTGAGACAGCAGACATTGAGACAGCAGACAGTGAGACAGGAGACAGCAGACAGTGAGACAGCAGACATTGAGACAACAGACAGTGAGACAGGAGACAGCAGACAGTGAGACAGCAGACATTGAGACAGCAGACAGTGAGACAGGAGACAGCAGACAGTGAGACAGGAGACAGTGAGACAGCAGACAGCAGACAGTGAGACAGGAGACAGTGAGACAGCAGACAGTGAGACAGCAGACATTGAGACAGCAGACAGTGAGACAGTGAGACAGGAGACAGTGAGACAGCAGACAGTGAGACAGGAGACAGTGAGACAGTGAGACAGGAGACAGTGAGACAGCAGACAGTGAGACAGTGAGACAGGAGACAGTGAGACAGCAGACAGCAGACAGTGAGACAGGAGACAGTGAGACAGCAGACAGTGAGACAGCAGACATTGAGACAGCAGACAGTGAGACAGTGAGATAGGAGACAGTGAGACAGCAGACAGTGAGACAGCAGACATTGAGACAGCAGACAGTGAGACAGGAGACAGCAGACAGTGAGACAGGAGACAGTGAGACAGCAGACAGCAGACAGTGAGACAGGAGACAGTGAGACAGCAGACAGTGAGACAGCAGACAGTGAGACAGCAGACAGTGAGACAGTGAGACAGGAGACAGTGAGACAGCAGACAGTGAGACAGCAGACAGTGAGACAGGAGACAGTGAGACAGCAGACAGTGAGACAGCAGACAGTGAGACAGGAGACAGTGAGACAGGAGACAGTGAGACAGTGAGACAGCAGACAGTGAGACAGGAGACAGTGAGACAGGAGACAGTGAGACAGGGGACAGTGAGACAGGAGACAGTGAGACAGCAGAGAGCAGACAGTGAGACAGCAGACAGTGAGACAGTGAGACAGGAGACAGTGAGACAGGAGACAGTGAGACAGTGAGACAGCAGACAGCAGACAGTGAGACAGCAGACAGTGAGACAGGAGACAGTGAGACAGCAGACATTGAGACAGCAGACAGTGAGACAGGAGACAGCAGACAGTGAGACAGCAGACATTGAGACAGCAGACAGTGAGACAGGAGACAGCAGACAGTGAGACAGCAGACATTGAGACAGCAGACAGTGAGACAGGAGAGAGCAGACAGTGAGACAGGAGACAGTGAGACAGCAGACAGCAGACAGTGAGACAGGAGACAGTGAGACAGCAGACAGTGAGACAGCAGACATTGAGACAGCAGACAGTGAGACAGGAGACAGCAGACAGTGAGACAGCAGACATTGAGACAGCAGACAGTGAGACAGGAGACAGCAGACAGTGAGACAGCAGACATTGAGACAGCAGACAGTGAGACAGCAGACATTGAGACAGCAGACATTGAGACAGCAGACAGTGAGACAGCAGACATTGAGACAGCAGACATTGAGACAGCAGACAGTGAGACAGCAGACATTGAGACAGCAGACAGTGAGACAGGAGACAGTGAGACAGCAGACATTGAGACAGCAGACAGTGAGACAGCAGACAGTGAGACAGGAGACAGCAGACAGTGAGACAGCAGACATTGAGACAGCAGACAGTGAGACAGCAGACATTGAGACAGCAGACATTGAGACAGCAGACAGTGAGACAGCAGACAGTGAGACAGCAGACATTGAGACAGCAGACAGTGAGACAGCAGACAGTGAGACAGCAGACAGTGAGACAGGAGACAGTGAGACAGTGAGACAGGAGACAGTGAGACAGTGAGACAGCAGACAGTGAGACAGGAGACAGTGAGACAGCAGACAGTGAGACAGCAGACATTGAGACAGCAGACAGTGAGACAGGAGACAGCAGACAGTGAGACAGCAGACATTGAGACAGCAGACAGTGAGACAGGAGACAGCAGACAGTGAGACAGCAGACATTGAGACAGCAGACAGTGAGACAGCAGACATTGAGACAGCAGACATTGAGACAGCAGACAGTGAGACAGCAGACATTGAGACAGCAGACATTGAGACAGCAGACAGTGAGACAGCAGACATTGAGACAGCAGACAGTGAGACAGGAGACAGTGAGACAGCAGACATTGAGACAGCAGACATTGAGACAGGAGACAGCAGACAGTGAGACAGCAGACAGTGAGACAGGGAGACAGCAGACATTGAGACAGCAGACATTGAGACAGGAGACAGTGAGACAGCAGACATTGAGACAGCAGACAGTGAGACAGGAGACAGTGAGACAGGAGACAGTGAGACAGCAGACATTGAGACAGGAGACAGCAGACAGTGAGACAGCAGACAGTGAGACAGGAGACAGTGAGACAGCAGACATTGAGACAGCAGACAGTGAGACAGGAGACAGTGAGACAGCAGACATTGAGACAGCAGACAGTGAGACAGGAGACAGCAGACAGTGAGACAGGAGACAGCAGACAGTGAGACAGCAGACATTGAGACAGCAGACAGTGAGACAGGAGACAGCAGACAGTGAGACAGCAGACAGTGAGACAGCAGACAGTGAGACAGGAGACAGTGAGACAGCAGACAGTGAGACAGGAACCAGCAGACATTGAGACAGCAGACAGTGAGACAGCAGACATTGAGACAGCAGACAGTGAGACAGCAGACATTGAGACAGCAGACATTGAGACAGCAGACAGTGAGACAGGAGACAGTGAGACAGCAGACATTGAGACAGCAGACAGTGAGACAGGAGACAGCAGACAGTGAGACAGCAGACATTGAGACAGCAGACATTGAGACAGCAGACAGTGAGACAGGAGACAGTGAGACAGCAGACATTGAGACAGCAGACAGTGAGACAGGAGACAGCAGACAGGAGACAGTAGACAGTGAGACAGGAGACAGTGAGACAGCAGACAGTGAGACAGCAGACAGTGAGACAGGAGACAGCAGACAGTGAGACAGGAGACAGTGAGACAGCAGACAGTGAGACAGCAGACATTGAGACAGCAGACAGTGAGACAGGAGACAGCAGACAGTGAGACAGCAGACAGTGAGACAGCAGACAGTGAGACAGCAGACAGTGAGACAGGAGACAGTGAGACAGGAGACAGCAGACAGTGAGACAGGAGACAGTGAGACAGCAGACAGTGAGACAGCAGACATTGAGACAGCAGACAGTGAGACAGGAGACAGCAGACAGTGAGACAGCAGACATTGAGACAGGAGACAGCAGACAGTGAGACAGCAGACAGTGAGACAGGAGACAGCAGACAGTGAGACAGCGAGACAGCAGACAGTCAGACAGGAGACAGTGAGACAGGAGACAGTAGCAGAGAGAGAGAGACAGACAGTGAGACAGGAGGATAGAGAGAGACAGACGGGTGTCGATACCTGAGTGGCGTTGGAGAAGGTCAGAAACGCTGGTAATGTCAAAACCTGCTTTCTGTTTCCTTTCACTCTCATCCTGTACAAAACCACAAACTGAGACCCAGCTACACACACACACACACACACACACACAGAGTGAGAACAGTGAGTATGAGTTATATAGTCTGTCTGTGTGTAAGTGTGTGTGTGTGTGTGTGTGAGAGAGAGTGTGTGTGTGTGTGTGTGTGAGAGTGTGTGTGTGTGTGTGTGTGTGTGAGTGTGAGTGTGTGTGTGTGTGTGTGTGTGTGTGTATGTGTGTGTGTGTGTGTGTGTGTGTGTGTGTGTGTGTGTGTGTGTGTGTGTGTGTGTGTGTGTGTGTGTAAGTTTGTGTGTGTGTGTGTGTGTGTGTGTGTACCGGGCAGTGTGTCCGTGCTGAAGGTCTGGTATCCTCTCTCCTGAATGCTCCCGTTGGTCTGTAGGAGCGTCACATCAGACACGGAGTCACGGATGCAGAGCTGCGAGAGGTCGTGACCTTCCTCTGGGTTCCTGACCAGCAGCGTCACTCGCAGCTCAACACCACTGTCCACCTGTGACACACAACTGACAATATTACACACACACACACACACACACACACACACACACACTCATACTCTCACACTCGCACACTCATACATTCTCTCTCATACTCACACACTCATACCCGCACACTCATGCACTCACACTGACACAATCATACCCGCACACTCATACTGACACACTCATACACACACACTCACACTTGCACACTCATACTCGCACACTCATACCCGCACACTTATACTCACACTCATACTCACACTCAAACCCGCACACTCATACTTGCACACTCATAACCGCACACTCATACTGACACAATCATACTCGCACACTCATACTCACACACTCATACACACACACACTCACACTTGCACACTCATACTGACACAATCATACTCGCACACTCATACACACACACTCATACTTGCACACACTCATACTGACACAATCATACTTGCACACTCAAACACACACACACACTCACACTTGCACACTCATACTCGCACACTCATACTGACACAATCATACTTGCACACTCATACTGACACAATCATACTCGCACACTCATACACACACTCATAACCGCACACTCATACTGACACAATCATACTTGTACACTCATACTCACACACTCATACTCGCACACTCATACACACACTCATAACCGCACACTCATACTGACACAATCATACTCGCACACTCATACTGACACAATCATACTCGCACACTCGTACTCACAGACTTATACACACACACTCACACTTATACACACACACTCACACTTGCACACTCATACTCGCACACTCATACCCTCACACTCATACCCTCACACAATCATACTCGCACACTCGTACTCACAGACTTATACACACACACTCACACTTATACACACACACTCACACTTGCACACTCATACCCGCACACTCATACCCGCACACTCATAACCGCACACTCATAACCGCACACTCATACTGACACAATCATACTCGCACACTCATACTCGCACACTTACACACACTCATAACCGCACACTCATACTGACACAATCATACTCGCACACTCATACTCGCACACTCATACTCACACACTCATACTGACACAATCATACTGACACAATCATACTCGCACACTCATACTCACACACACACACACACACACACACTCACACTCGCACACTCATACTCGCACACTCATACACACACACACTCACACACTAATACTCGCACACTCATACCCGCACACTCATACTCGCACACTCATACTCGCACACTCATACTCGCACACTCATACTCGCACACTCAAACTCGCACACTCATACTCGCACACTCATACTCATACTCGCACACTCATACTCGCACACTCATACTCGCACACTCATACTCACACACTCATACTCGCACACTCATACCCGCACACACATACCCGCACACTCATACTCGCACACTCATACTCGCACACTCATACTCGCACACTCATACTCGCACACTCATACCCGCACACTCATACTCGCACACTCATACTCACACACTCATACTCGCACACTCATACCCGCACACTCATACCCGCACACTCATACTCGCACACTCATACTCGCACACTCATACTCGCACACTCATACCCGCACACTCATACTCGCACATACTCGCACACTCATACTCGCACACTCGCACACTCATAACGACACAATCATACTCGCACACTCATACTCGCACATACTCGCACACTCATAACGACACAATCATACTCGCACACTCATACACACACTCATAACCACACACTCATACTGACACAATCATACTCGCACACTCATACTCGCACACTCATACTCGCACACTCATACTCGCACACTCATACTGACACAATCATACAGACACAATCATACTCGCACACTCACACTCATACTGACACACTCATACCCACACACTCATACTGACACAATCATACTCGCACACTTATACACACACACACACACACACTCACACACTCATACCCGCACACTCATACTCGCACACTCATACCCGCACACTCATACTCACACACTCATACTGACACACTCATACTCACACACTCATACTCACACACTCATACCCGCACACTCATACCCGCACACTCATACTCGCACACTCATACTCACACACTCATACTGACACACTCATTCTCACACTCACTCATACTCACACACTCATACTCACACACTCACACTCACACACTCATACTCACACACTCATACCCGCACACTCATACCCGCACACTCATACTCGCACACTCATACCCGCACACTCATACTCACACACTCATACTGACACACTCATACTCACACACTCATACTCACACACTCATACTCACACACTCATACTCACACACTCATACACTCACACTCATACCCACACACTCATACCCACACACTCATACTCGTACACACACACACACTCGCACACTCATACTCGCACACTTACACACACACTCTCTCTCTCTCTCTCTCTCTCTCACTCACACACACACACACACACACACACACACACACACACACACACAGAAACGCACCTGAGCGCACTTCAGGAACGAGACTCCGAACGCTGAAGGCTTCGTCGAGCTCTAAATGTAAACAAACATCAAACTTATGAGAATAAATGGGAACACAAACACACAACATTCTTCAAAATATCATTAAAAGAACTGACTCATAAAAGGACTAGATGAGGACTGCAGCTCTGATTCATGACACTTAAACAGAAAATCATCTGTTTCCAGCCAGTTTCCATTTTTTAAAATAGAATGGTTCGGATGATTGACAGGTGTCATTTTACCCGATTTGACGTATTTCTCGTGGTTCTCTGATTTGCCCATTGACCAAATAAGGCGTGGCTCGAGATGACGTCATCCGTGTACTGCTCTGACGAGCTGATACTCCGCCTCATCTCTGTAAAACAATAAAAACAACTTCTGTTTCTGCTTTTTCCTCCCAGAAACAACTAACAAATTTTTATTTTGAGATTTTTTTTAAAACAACACTAAATGAAAAAGAAACCTTTTTTGCGCTGGAATTTCTCCAAATCTTTCATCTTCTCTTGATCTGATCGAACAGATGTTGATCTATGGCGCGCGCGCGCACGAGCACGCGCAGCATCTTCAGCTCTCGAGATAAACAGTAGCGCGCTCATAATCACAAACCACCGGTCCATTTCCAAACTGCGTGGGTTTAAGCCATAGGGTTTATTCACAAACCGATTCGTTAAACGCGAGCCGGTTGAATAATCACGACGATTAATAAACTCACTACGTTTAAAATGACTAATACGGTTTCATATCACCAATGTCCCTGCTATTTTAACACAGTAAATAACTGTATGAGTATGTAAATATCTCATGACTTGACGAGAAGAAAAGCGCAGTTTTGTTTTTCCAGTTCTGTTTAGCACACAACTTTTCCCAAACTTTGGAAGCTGCGGAAAGCCCCGCCCCCTCGCGTCTCTGATTGGCTTAGTGAACAGCATTCCTTAGGCAACGCAGCGCTCCCATTGGCCGCAAGCTCTGCCACTCAAAAGTAACAGTACAGCAGCAGAGAGACAGTTGTAGCAGTTGTTGCGCCCGGTATCGGGGTTTGAGATGCGCGTTAACGGCTCGTCGGACTCGTGCTCGGGGAACGCGCTGGTAGATCTGTCGGAGCCCCGGGACCGGGAAGTAACGTGGGGTCCGGTAACGGGCGTCGCGGTGTCCGGTGCGGGTCTCGCGCTGCTCGCGGCCGCGCTCCTCTACGCTTGTCACCGGAAGCTGCTCATCTCTGCTCCGGTGAGCCGTTTATGTGCTTATGTTTATGTGCTTAATTATGCTCATATACAGTACTGTGTGGAAGAGTTAGGAGAAAACATGCTTTTGCAAATCATGATTATGACATAAAAAGTCGAAATTATTACTTAAAAAGTTGAGGTTATGGCATAAAAAGTAGAAATTATGACTTAAATAGTTGAAGTTATGGCGTAAAAAGTCAAAATTATGACTTTAAAAAGTCAAAATTATGACTTAAAAAAGTTAAAATTATGACATAAAAAGTAAATTATGACATAAAGTTGTAATTTTTGCTTTTTAAGGCAAGACACCCCAGGTGAATAGGGAAAAAATCTAATGGATATTGTCCTAATTCCACAGCTGATTGATTACATTATAAATGGCAAACATCTTTTGATTAAAAGTTTTATGAAATGTTTTGTTTATAAATGCAAATGAGGCATTGTCTAATTAAATATGCACTCATTTGCATACATTTCCAGCACACAACTCTGAACATTGGATAAAGCCAAGTTCAAAACTATTGTTGACATGTTAGAGTTGAAGATTTTTATGTTTATGTTTAATTAATAATGCTCTTTTCATCAACTGTACTAGATCAGTGTATCATGTTTCTCCCTTTGGTCTTAAAGGGTTTAAAGACTAGGCGTTTTCTCTGAGGAGATGAGCTCATACACACCTCTATTGCTTTTATAGACACGTAATCTTCTTTATATCTTCATTCCTAACTTTGAGGATATGACCAATGTAGATGTGTTGTGTGTCAGTGTGGAGGCCTGCGCAGGAGTGAGGAGGAGGAGGAGGAGGAGGAGAGCGGCTGTGACCGCCGGAGCTGCGGACCGGATGAACCGGTGTGTGTTGCACTCTCAAACACAGGCCTCTGGCAAACACACCGCTTTCACACAAACAGTTTCATTTTTCCATTGTAATTTCTGTGGATTATGTTTTATTCTGTGCAAGTCCCCTGTGGTCAGTCTCGCGTAGCCACACTTCAGAGTGGCGGCAGAAGGTCTGGACTCTCATTGGCCCAAGAGGACGTTAGACTGACATAACGCAGCCAATCACAGTTCGTTTTGTCCGTGGGCGTCTGAGGCGGACACTGCCCTGTAGTCAATCACTTCATCCCTTAAAACTCATCTTTAATCACCAAAATTACATTTTCAAGTGTTTTTCCTTGGAATCAAATTTCTTCATGCCTTAAAATAGCTTGAATGTAACAAATGAGCCCCGCCTCCACTCACTCACTCACTCAGCTCAGAGATCCACTGGTTGACGATCACACGTTGATCTGATTGGTTACAAGGTCGTTTGTGACGTCAGAAACACCAGCGATTTCAAACCGTGTTTTTATATTATAAAAGTATCCTGGCTCTTCCAAGCTTTATAATGGCAGTGGATTGAAACCAACAGATTGAAGCTCATAAAAGTGCATCTGTCCATCATAAAAGTGTATTATGATGGACGTTTTGAAGCTTTAATCTGATGGTTTCAATCCACTGCTATTATAAAGCTTGGAAGAGCCAGGATACTTTTATAAATAACTCAGATTGTATTCTTCTGAAAGTGAGTAAATCATGGGCTAATTTTCATGTTAAAGTGAACTACTCCTTTAATGTTTTTAGTAGCCTGATGCTTGTAGTTCAGGTCAGAGCTGGGCAGGAGTGGATGTGGTGTGTGTGTGTGTGTGTGTGTGTGCAGCTTCACTGAGGAGAATCTCTTCCTCTTCTCTCAGGAGTCTCAGTGGACGGTCAACAGAGATGTGGCTGCGTTTGCCCTGAAGGCCAGAGTGATCTACCCCATCAACCAGAGATACAGGGTGAGTCTCCACCTGTGTGTGTGTGTGTGTGTGTGTGTGTGTGTGTGTGTGTGTGTGTGTGTGTGTGTGTGTGTGTGTGTGTGTGTGTGTGTGTGTGTGTGTGTGTGTGTGTGTGTGTGCGTGTGTGTGTGTGTGTGTGTGTGTGTGTGTGTGTGTGTGTGTGTGTGTGTGTGTGTGTGTGCGTGTGTGTGTGTGTGTGTGAGAGTGTGTGTGCGTGTGTGTGTGTGTGTGTGAGAGAGAGAGAGAGAGATTTGAATTGTGACTTCCGGTGGTGCTGCTCTGTAGCGACCCGGGCGAGTGCTGTTGTTGGTTTTAAGTGTTTTAGTGTTCTATTTTTAAGTAGCGTCTTAAGTGTTTTTATGCATGTGACTATATGCTGGAGCTGACAATTGCAAGTAAAGAGCAAGTTTTTCTGAACTACGATAGTCGGTAGCCCCAAACAATGGCTCCTCCACCTCATACTTCTAGTCCTGATTTTTATCAGCGAACATCTAATTTCCTGTTCTGCGATAACCGTGATGTGGGAACATGAACTAACTCGAGTTTAGTCGAGAGAAACTTAGCTGTCCCTCCGACCACTGCAATCAACATCACCGGAAAACCTGCCTTCAGCCATCCGAGCAATGCAGTACACGGCCCAAACGCAAGCGAGGAAGACGGGGAGGCATCAGGGAACGTCTCCGTCGGCGGACCAGCAAACACCACTGCCGTCTATAATCCTCAGCAATGTGCGATCACTGATACCGAAGATGGATGAGCTCCGTATCAACCGAAGGAGCTGTTTGGAGTAGCGGGAATCTAACCTTATGGTGTTCTCCGAGACGTGGCTTTACCGAGGAGTCCCGGATTCTCTGCTCACCTCGGGTGGCTATCGCTGGTGCGAGCCGACCGCTCTAATGCGTCCGGGGAAAGAATGGAGGAGGAATCTGCATGTACGTGAGTGAAAAATGGTGTAAACAATCCACAGTGAGAGAGACTATATGCAGCCCAGATGTGGAACTGCTTTGCGTGTCTATGAGACCTCATTACTTGCCTAGGGAGTTTGGTAATATTATTATTGTCGCTGTTTATGTTCCACCCAGCGCATGAACAGTTGCAGCGCTCCCCTGGGCGCCTGTGTTTCTCTGGGGCGACTATAATCACTGCAGATTGGAGACTGCGCTGCCAGGTTTTCAACAATATGTAAAATGTGACACGAGAAATAACAGAATATTAGATAAATGTTACGGAAATATAAAGGGGGCATATTCAGTGAAGTCAAACCCCCCCTCTCCAACACCGTCCTATAAATCTGTATTCAAGTCAAGTAAACCTGAACATAAATCTGTCTATGTGTGGTCAGGTGATGCAATTGAATCACTAAAGCGGGGCTTCATGTGCACAGATTGGTCTATTCTCCATTCACTAGAGCTTGATGAGGCTACTAGTACTATAACAGACTACATAGGATTTTGTGTTGACAATGTGGTGGCCAAGAAGGACATACTAGTGTACCCTAACAACAAATCTTATATTACAAAAGAAAGTAAAGACTGTATAAATAGGAAAAAGCAAGCTTTTAGAAGTAAAGACAGAGTGGGATTGTCAATGATTAAAAAAGAACTCAAACAACTCCTCACTAATGCGAGGGATAAACACAGGCAACCGATGGAACAAAACATCCAAACACTAAATACTAAAAAACTGTGGGACACAATGAAATCAGTGACTAACATGAACCCTGCAAAACAACTAATTATCACACTGGACGACCTACATAAATCAAATGAGTTGAATGACTTCTGTCTGCGATTTCATTCTCAAAATTTCGCTCAAGAATGTGACTGTGTTTTGCAGTCCCTGCAGCCACTGAGACCTGTTATCTGGAAGTGGATCCATTTAGCATTTAGCAAGTGCACACGGGCGAGGCCACAGGCCCTGATGGCCTCCCAAAGCTGTGCAGAAGATCTCACCGTGGTCTCACCCTATATACTCATACTGTCCCAGCTCTGTGGAAGAGATCAACTATAATCCCACTGCCTAAAAAATCAGGCGCTTCAGAGAATAATGACTTTCGTCCAATAGCTTTAACCTCAATTGTAATGAATTGTTTTGAAAAATGTGTTGTGTCGATACTCATGAAAGATGTTGAGTCAAAATCGGGTGTGTACCAGTTCGCCTATAAGCAAGGACGCGCACTGATGACGCAGTCCTCTGTATCTCGCTCTTTACTTCTAAGCACCTTGAAAACACAGAAGCTAATGCTAGAATCTTGTTTGTCGATTTTAGTTCAGCTTTTAAAGCTCCAGTCCGTAACTTTTTTAAGTTAAAAATAATCCAAAATAATTATATTAAAAAAAACTTATTCTGCCAGTGGTCAAAACGATCTGCTTGCCACAGCTAGATTCAAAACGGTTAGCTTGTAATAATGATTTTAACTCCAGTGGTACTGGTGGGTTTCCGCGGGAAATTCGAGCATGTCTTTGCGTCATTACGTCACACCCGTACACATAAAGAAGGAGTTTCGGCTAGCCGGCTATACTGCGCGTGACCAGATGTTTAGATGTAGAGTCTTTTCTCGCAGCACTTTACATGATTAAACTTATGGCGGATCCAGAAAGATCCAAACAACAATCATCAGTGTCAACTGGAGATTCAGCAGTTATAAAACCCAAAAGACTTCGTACTTCGGATTTAAGGTGGCTAGAGAAAGAGAAAGAAACCGTCTCATGCGAACACAAGGATTAAACATCGGCGGGGCTTTTGAAAAGTGCGTGAACTCCGTGTTTTGAAGGGGTTCGAAACGGAAGAAGAGACGGCTTTTTTCTGCTGAACAAGTAAGACATTTCAATAGTTCAATCGTGTAACAGTACGTTTTCTTAATTCACACAGTTATGGAGTTTCCTTTGTTGTGCCTTTCTCGTTTTGCTATTATGGAGAATATGAATTCTGAACTACACAGGTAACCATAAAACACATTAAATTTAACATTAGTCACGCAATGCTGATGTTGTTAACATGATCAATTTGAGAACAAAGTAGGCTATAATTTGCACGGTTGCTGTAAATCGCGTTGATTAAATCTAACGAAGCTTATCATGTCGAATGCTTTTTCCCCCTTAGTTGGTCAGAACAAAAATGGATGTTACTTACTTGTTCAGAAGACATTTTCTTATGAAAATTCTTATGTTGGTCAAACTTTCAAAAAGTGAATCTGTGATTCTGAATGCCAGTATCCACACAGCGCGGTGACTGACAGCAGCACTCGCCTCAAAGCACTGTGTTCATCCGCGCTGTTTCATGCCGATTTACAACCCACGTAAAGATAATAATTCAGCCAATCACTGCAGTTACAGATTTCGAACAGAGAGACGGCGACAAAGAGGAAAAGCTACGGACTGCAGCTTTAATACAGTGCAAACTCATGTGCTTTTAAATAAGCTTAAAAACATGAATGTCAATACTATCTTAATTAAATGGTTTTATTCGTTCTTAACTGACAGGGCAGAGCAAGTGAAGGTCAATGAGACACTATCAGAGATCTAATACTGTACCACAGGAGTTCCTCAGGGCTGTGTCGTTTCACCAATACTCTTCACGTTGTACACCAATGATTGCAGGAATGTACACTCTAATAACCATATAATGAAATTTGCTGACGATACCGCGATCCTGAGCCTTTTGTACAAGAAAACGGACTCCTCTGTGTATCAAGACGAAATAGACACATTTGTTAAATGGTGTGACACCAACCAACTAATTTTAAACATCCAAAAAACAAAGGAGATGGTCTTCGACCCGAGGCAAGTTGCAGACCACAAGCCAGTGGTCATTCTAAACCAGGAAGTAACTCAGGTGTCCTCATACAAATATTTAGGTGTCCATATTGACTGTCTTCTTTGCTGGAATACACATGTTGATAACCTGTGTAACAAACTGCAGCAGAGGCTATATTTTTAAAGGGGCCTAAGGTCATGTGGTGTGAGCAGTCGTATCATGATGATCTTCTATCATGCCATCTTAGAGAGTGTCATCCGATATGGAATTACTGCATGGTTTGGCAACCTAACAGTTAAGGTGAAAAATAAGCTTGCTAACATGCACAAAGCAGCCATGACCATGACAGGGAGGAGAGACTGTGAGCCTGTACAGAGCCTGTATGATCAGGCAGTTATGAAACAGACCCTCAACATCCCCTCTTTCCTGAATATGAAACCTTGCCATCGGGAAGAAGACTCCCTGTACCAAAATGCAAAACTAATCGCTTAAAATTATCATTCGTGCCAGTCTCTATTAAGTTGCTGAACGATGTGAAATAAAACTGTGAGCACTTCAGCACTTTACCTGTGATCTCAGTGCAATAGGGCAGTGTGCAATACTAGCGCCTTAGCATATGCACTTTACATAAACTTCAATACAATGGAGTAATTTGCAACAACCATACTAGCTCTTAAGCACTTGCACTTTAATCCATGGAATTGCGCTGTCAATTATGTCCCTTTTTCTTCTGTCTATATTTGCTTCTGTTTTTGTTGATGTGTTTTGTAATTTGTGATGTTTTGTATGATGTTTATTTTATGAAACACCTCGGCACTGTGCCCAAGCAAAATTTCCCCTCGGGGACAATAAAGTTAACTCAACTCAGTGTCTGCTGACCTGCTCCTGCTCCTGATCTGATCTCTGTGTGTGTGTGTGTGTGTGTGTCAGCCGCTGGCGGATGGAGCCTCTAACCCCTCTCTGCACGAGCCGCCCAGGCGTCAGGACTCCGCCTCCTCGCTGGCTGATGATTGGCCGAGCCACGAGAGGGAGGATGATGACAGCGGTCAGTTTGTCTCCTGCGGCCCCTCGTCTAAAACACACGCCAGTCACGTGTTCAGGAGAGTCCAGCATTACCCACAAACCCCCTGCCACTCACGGTCAGTGACACACACACACACACACACACACACACACACACACACACAGTCCTAGATTTACCTGCAGAAACTGAGCAGGTGTAGGAGCCAGTGAAGGGGTAATCAGGGTCACATGATGTGTGCAGGGTCAGCCTGGTGTGTGTGACTCTGGAGGAACTGCAGCGACACACGTCACGCCTGCAGCGGGAGAAGCACACAGTACGACACGCATACATCATCATCATACATCATACAATACATCATCATACATCATCATACAATACATCATACAATACATCATCATACATCATCATACAATACATCATACAATACATCATACAATACATCATCATACATCATCATACATCATCATACAATACATCATCATACATCATCATACATCATCATACAATACATCATCATACATCATCATACATCATCATACAATACATCATCATACAATACATTTTTTTTTCTCCATCGGGTCACTTGATGGAGTTTTTCGGTTCCTTGCCACTGTTGCCTTTGGCTTGCTCAGTTGGGGATATTCAAATTAAATGACCCATCATACCACTGATCAGCTCTACCAAACTTGGATGTCTTTTCCAGTAATAAACAAACACTGTTAAGGCCTGTTCACACCGGGACGAATTTCGCGCGCGTTATTCGCCGACGTTTAACGCCTCGTGACTAAACAAAGGGCGCCTATGCGAGTGTGCACACCGACGCGTAAAACGCCACGCGTAAAAGCGTCATTTTTTAAAAAACGCCTCGGGTTCGTTTTTTTGGTTTGACGCGCCACGTCAAAAACTATCCGACCAATGAGATTGGCGCTTTTGCTCACGTGTCTGGAGCTTCTGAAGTTACAGTAAAACACAACTTGGGGGCGCTCAAACACAAAACGGTCTTGCCGAGCACACATACGTAATGGCGAAGAAGATATACAGCGTCTACACTCTGCCGGGAAGAAATAAGACGAGGAAGATGTAAGGCTAGATGAGTAGAGCTGCTGGTCTTGTTGGTGTCTTTATAAAGAGACACCAACGACAATAAAGAACCATATAACAAACGCGACAAACTTGCTCTCTTCTTCTGAGTGACAAGCGAGTGTCAGAAGCGTAGTTGCGCAGCGCCACTTTGTGGACCGGGGTATTTCTGTTTTACATTAAGCGCCATCTAATGTCAGGGAATGAATTTGCGTGTTCACTCGGCTCATCGTCAGCGAAAATCGCTTGGGTGTAAACACAAAAAACGCGTTGAAAAACGCTGACGAATAACGCAAGCCGATATTCGTCCCGGTGTGTACAGGCCTTTAAGTTGTTTTGATTGATACTGTGAAGCAGCTTTGATACAATCTGTATTGTGAAAAGCGCTATATAAATATATTTGACTTGACCTGACTTTACATCATCATACATCATCATACATTATCATACATCATATATCATAATACATCATATTTCATCATGTATTTCTTTAATATAACATTATAATAAAATAATAAATTAAGTGTCTTTGTGGATTCTGCCGCAGATGTTTCTGCAGATTCTGCGCGTGTTGCTGGACGAGAGAGAACACGCTGACATCATCCAGGTGAGACGAGAGGAGAATCATGAGTTAAATGACCTGCTGCCGTTTCACACTGACCCTCTGTGCAGGAGGCGGAGCTTCTGGCGAGAGGCGTGTCTGTGGAGGAGGGGCCGGAGTCAGGTGCTGTGCAGGAGGTGGAGCTTCCAGCGAGAGGCGTGTCTGTGGATGAGGGGGCGGAGTCAGGTACTGTGGAGGGGGTGGAGCTTCTGGCGAGAGGCGTGTCTGTGGAGGAGGGGGCGGAGTCAGGTGCTGTCCAGGAGGCGGAGCTTCTGGCGAGAGGCGTGTCTGTGGAGAAGAGGGCTGAGTCAGGTGCTGTGCAGGAGGCGGAGCTTCTGGCGAGAGGCGTGTCTGTGCAGGAGGGGGCGGAGTCAGGCTCAGTCACATGTTCTGTGGAGGAGGTGGAGAAGGCGGGACGGGAGCAGCTGGAGCGATCACTGCAGACGGTAATCTCAAACACAGCAGAAACAGATACAGCGCACAGGATGGGAGGATTATCGTTAGTTGTTATTATTAAAGAGATTATTACAATTATTATTAAAGGTGACAAATTATGCCCCTTTTCACAAGATGTAATACCAATCTATGGCGTCCCCAGAATGTGTCTGTGAAATTTCGACTCAGAATCCCCCCAGATCATTTATTAAAGCTCGTCAAATTTGCCCTTTTTTGGGCGTGAGCAAAAACGCGCCGTTTTTGTGTGTGTCCCTTTAAATGCAAATGAGCTTTAGCTCCGCCTCCGTTCAGAAGAGGGCGGAGCCTTCACACGAGCTTCAGAGACTCCGGCAATAACAACACAGGCCAATCTCACTGATCCAGAGTCAGGAGTAACAGCAGCGAGGGCAGCCTTACGGAGAGACTCAGGGAGAGCTTCACTTTTACACGTTTCTGAATGTTAGCGGAGACATTTCTGTAGTTGTTGTGGAGTTACACTGATCATCTCCTCATCATGTTGAACTCTTCCACAAGTGTCCACAGTTCCTGAGGTGTTTATAAGACAGCGGTGACATGTTCTGGTCAATAGTGTTCAGTGTCGTCTGTGCTCGACCACAGAACAGTTTCAGGCTTTGCTGGATCTTCTCCAGTGCGTTAGAACTGGTCTCTGTTGGCGCTCGCCGAACCCAATGTCGCTGGTGTGTGTGAACGTGCAGATTAAGGGCCGGGAATATTATAATAAGATCCTATGTAGTGCTGTGTTGAAAAAATCCATTCACCAATTCTGAATCGATTTTCATATTAATTTCTAAAGATCGATCCGTAACTCAGAGGATCGATTTTAATAGGTTTACATTTTCCCCGTGAACTTTAACTTGCCGCGACTGGGAGATCCCTGTATGCGCATTGAAAGGCTTTCACTCAGCGCGCACATTGTTACGACAACGGGCTTTGAGTGAGTCATTAAACCGTTCATTCAACGAACACGTTCAAAAAAGCTGATTCATTAAAAGAGATGTAATGAAACAAGGTGTTAATTATTTTTTAACTTTGAGTTCCACTTTTCAAGGCTCAGCTGAGCAGCAATGCGTCGCATGGGTAACGCTGAAGCTGATGCTTCACTTATTAGAGACCAATATGGCATTGATTCAATGCGTGACTCGCTGATTTTATTTCCCCGCGGCTTCCTCGCGCAGTGGGATGCTGACCAGCGCTGCTGCTGACGCGCATTTATGGTAAATACCCGTGACGTGAACGTTAAAAGGATGATACGACAAATATTTCGCTTTCCTTTGACACGGCAACCTTTTTCACAAATACATATGACTTCAAAGACAGACGCAGGTAATCGCACGCGCTCTGCCGATCTCTCTCATTCACTGTCTGTGCGAAGCCTCTGTAGGCTACACATCACCACGATAAACAGTCTTGTTTGTTATCATTATGAACTTGTTTAACATTCAATACACATGCATGAAGTTCAAAACAAGAAGGGTATAGCCTTACAAAAAACGTGAATATCGCGGTTGCTGCGGTTACTTGCAATCCTCTGCGGTTACTGCTGCTGATACCTCTGCGTCCTCTGTCGTCTACACCAGTGCAAGTTTGTGAAAGCAGTTGTATCAACACTCTGGAAGGGGGATTGTTCTTTACAACCATCAATACTCCATTAATTTGCAGTTAAATGTCTATAATAATTGTATCAATATGTTGCATAACTACAGTCCTGTAATTCAACAGCTGGAAAAAAAATATGCTTTTTTCAAAAACACTTATCTTAATCTCGAAGATCGGATCGGATCGAATCGAATCGAATCGAATAATGATAATCGATTCAAGATCTTGAGAATCGGAATCGAATCGATTCTTGAAATTTGAATCGAAACCCAGCACTAATCCTATGATAGATATGTTTTGTCATGCTGTCAGAGAAAGGCTCACCAGAACAGAGTCACTGGGTTTCACTTCTCGCGTGTTCTGTGTCGGCCGATTACAGCACTTACACACGGAGAAAGTCCGATTTTCATGATATGTCCCCTTTAATTATTGTGTGTATGTGTGTGTGTGTTCAGGCTGTGAGTTTTGCAGAGCAGTTGCAGCGGCTCTGGCAGAATCTTCAGCGCAGGTTTTCCCGGGACGTCTCAGAGGAAGTGATGCGTATCATCATGGGATGCCTGCGATCAATGGAGGAGGTTCTGTCCGAGGTTCAGGCGTCAGTCCTGCAGGTGACGGTCACACACACCACAGTCACACACACACTACAGTCACACACACCACAGTCACACACACACTACAGTCACACACACCACAGTCACACACACACTACAGTCACACACACCACAGTCACACACACACTACAGTCACACACACCACAGTCACACACACTACAGTCACACACACTACAGTCACACACACTACAGTCACACACACTACAGTCACACACACCACAGTCACACACACTACAGTCACACACACTACAGTCACACACACTACAGTCACACACACTACAGTCACACACACTACAGTCACACACACTACAGTCACACACACTACAGTCACACACACCACAGTCACACACACCACGGTCACACACACCACAGTCACACACACCACAGTCACACACACTACAGTCACACACACTACAGTCACACACACCACAGTCACACACACCACAGTCACACACACCACAGTCACACACACTACAGTCACACACACCACAGTCACACACACCACAGTCACACACACCACAGTCACACACACCACAGTCACAGTCACACACACCACAGTCACACACACCACAGTCACAGTCACACACACCACAGTCACACACACCACAGTCACACACACTACAGTCACACACACTACAGTCACACACACACTACAGTCACACACACCACAGTCACACACACTACAGTCACACACACTACAGTCACACACACTACAGTCACACACACCACAGTCACACACACCACAGTCACACACACTACAGTCACACACACTACAGTCACACACACTACAGTCACACACACTACAGTCACACACACCACAGTCACACACACCACGGTCACACACACCACGGTCACACACACCACAGTCACACACACACTACAGTCACACACACCACAGTCACACACACTACAGTCACACACACTACAGTCACACACACTACAGTCACACACACTACAGTCACACACACCACAGTCATACACACTACAGTCACACACACTACAGTCACACACACCACAGTCACACACACTACAGTCACACACACTACAGTCACACACTACAGTCACACACACCACAGTCACACACACCACAGTCACACACACTACAGTCACACACACTACAGTCACACACACCACAGTCACACACACCACAGTCACACACACCACAGTCACACACACTACAGTCACACACACTACAGTCACACACACTACAGTCACACACACCACAGTCACACACACTACAGTCACACACACCACAGTCACACACACTACAGTCACACACACCACAGTCACACACACTACAGTCACACACACCACAGTCACACACACTACAGTCACACACACCACAGTCACACACACTACAGTCACACACACCACAGTCACACACACTACAGTCACACACACCACAGTCACACACACCACAGTCACACACACTACAGTCACACACACTACAGTCACACACACCACAGTCACACACACCACAGTCACACACACCACAGTCACACACACCACAGTCACACACACTACAGTCACACACACTACAGTCACACACACCACAGTCACACACACCACAGTCACACACACACCACAGTCACACACACCACAGTCACACACACTACAGTCACACACACTACAGTCACACACACCACAGTCACACACACTACAGTCACACACACCACAGTCACACACACTACAGTCACACACACCACAGTCACACACACTACAGTCACACACACTACAGTCACACACACTACAGTCACACACACTACAGTCACACACACTACAGTCACACACACCACAGTCACACACACCACAGTCACACACACTACAGTCACACACACTACAGTCACACACACTACAGTCACACACACTACAGTCACACACACCACAGTCACACACACCACAGTCACACACACTACAGTCACACACACTACAGTCACACACACTACAGTCACACACACTACAGTCACACACACCAGTCACACACACCACAGTCACACACACCACAGTCACACACACCACAGTCACACACACTACAGTCACACACACTACAGTCACACACACCACAGTCACACACACCACAGTCACACACACTACAGTCACACACACTACAGTCACACACACACACTACAGTCACACACACTACAGTCACACACACCACAGTCACACACACCACAGTCACACACACCACAGTCACACACACTACAGTCACACACACTACAGTCACACACACTACAGTCACACACACCACAGTCACACACACCACAGTCACACACACTACAGTCACACACACCACAGTCACACACACCACAGTCACACACACCACAGTCACACACACCACAGTCACACACACCACAGTCACACACACCACAGTCACACACACTACAGTCACACACACTACAGTCACACACACTACAGTCACACACACTACAGTCACACACACTACAGTCACACACACCACAGTCACACACACTAGTCACACACACCACAGTCACACACACCACAGTCACACACACCACAGTCACACACACCACAGTCACACACACCACAGTCACACACACTACAGTCACACACACCACAGTCACACACACTACAGTCACACACACTACAGTCACACACACTACAGTCACACACACCACAGTCACACACACTACAGTCACACACACCACAGTCACACACACTACAGTCACACACACCACAGTCACACACACTACAGTCACACACACTACAGTCACACACACCACAGTCACACACACCACAGTCACACACACCACAGTCACACACACCACAGTCACACACACTACAGTCACACACACTACAGTCACACACACTACAGTCACACACACCACAGTCACACACACTACAGTCACACACACCACAGTCACACACACTACAGTCACACACACCACAGTCACACACACCACAGTCACACACACTACAGTCACACACACTACAGTCACACACACCACAGTCACACACACCACAGTCACACACACTACAGTCACACACACTACAGTCACACACACTACAGTCACACACACCACAGTCACACACACTACAGTCACACACACTACAGTCACACACACTACAGTCACACACACCACAGTCACACACACCACAGTCACACACACTACAGTCACACACACTACAGTCACACACACTACAGTCACACACACTACAGTCACACACAGGCCCGCCCACAGAAATGACTGGGCCCCTGAAAAGGTCCAGTGAATGGGCCCTCCCCAAATCTGCAATAGGCTACTCATATCATGCGTGTGCTCTCTCTCTCTCCTACATACGTTTAACTGAGAGAGACTTACTCAGTGATGGGGTCTATAGTTACACACACACACACACACACAGCTCTCAAGTGTCACGCATTGAGCATGACGGTCACTCATTTGTCACTAGGGTTGGGTATCGGTTGGGTTTTATCCGATTCCAGTACCTACTCGGTATTTTTTAAACGGTTCCGGTGCTTAAACGGTTCTTAAATCGGTACTTAAGAAAATGAACCCGTACACACTTTATAAAAAAATAATACCCTTTAATTTACAGGGCCAAACTGGACACAATATTAACTTAAATCTTTAAACAATATAAATACAAGTAACATATGGTAATAATAAAACCAATATAAAATAAAAATTCATATTTACATAATATCAAATGAAACAATATTGTATCAAAAAATGTAATAATACTAGAGATTAATAGAGATTACTGCAGAGCTGCCAACTCTCACGCATTGACCGTGAGACTCACGCAAATGACCCTTTTCACACAGAAAAATCGCGGACAAAGAGGACACCGACAGACAAGACAGAGAAGGTTACTTTTGATATGGAACTAATCCACACCTGTCAGATTCTGTCAATATTTTTACGAGATTCACACAATAAATAACGTTTTGGCTCTTTGAAATGTGACAGATCGCTGTAGCGCGTCAGTTCAAACGGCACGTGATACAGCAGCCTACAAATCCACTGCTTCTTAGCTACGCAGCGCAGTGAACCTATGAAAGAGAACATCTCTGGTTACTGGTGTAACCTATCTCTCAATAGGGAACGGGACGCTGCCCGGACGCTGCCAAGCTGCTCGCGCTGCCAACCAGCTTTCTTTTTCGGCAGAGTAATCTGAGGAGTGAGGAGCAGATGGCGCGCGCGCGCCAACATAATATGACGACGTCAGTGCGTCGAGGCGGCGCCCGCGCCATTAGCCAATGAATTGGCTTGATTCTATATGGGATTCAGACTATCGGCACACCCAGAGGGCGTTCTGACATGTAGTTTTACACGTGAAATGCAGCCAAACCTTGCGAGAAAGAGCGCGCATGCGAGACAGAAGAAACTGTGCTCCAAACTGTGTAGCACACGCACGGCGGAGAGGGAGAGAGCGAGAGACCTTGCGTGTGTGTGTGTGCCTAATGAAGTTAGGCACCGAAATCAGGCACCGAAATTTTCGTTCTTATTCGGTCTGGTTACTACCGTTTACGTCGGAACCGGTTCCCTATTGGCACCGAATTTCGGTACCCAACCCTATTTGTCACGCACTCCCGCCACACATTGTATTTCTCACGCGGAAAAACGATTTATAATATATTTAATATGCCGCAGCGCCCAAAATGTCTCTGGCCGCGCCGCTCTCACTTTGGACCCGGCAGGAATCAAGCGCGTCTCCCCTGTGTTGTTCGTCGAGCTACACAAAAGCCAATCAGAAAATAGCACTATTGTATCTGAGTATGATTTTACGCAACAACCAATATTTTTTTTTTAAATTTGTCATGAAACAACCCCAATTTCCGCGACCTGTCCAATATCTAATGGTGTGTTCACACCGAACGCGTATTTAATCATTTGCGCGAGTAGATTACATACAAAGTCAATCCAAAGACTCGAATAGACGCATCATTGGCGCCGGGCGTTGCGAATGACGCGAATTGGGCGACGCGTTTGCCGCGAACGTCTTCCCCGCAAGTTGAAAATTTTGAACTGGAG